GAGTTTAGAATTGACGAGCAGCGAAGAACTTGTATTCAAAAAAGGAAATGAAACACTTTCTCGCTGCAAGGTTTCGCGATGCAGTAATTGCTCCAATCGGCAAGTCAATTACGTCCTCAAAGACCACTGAGCGTCCGTCAATTGAAAAAAAAACGCCTTGAGTAGGTCTATTGTCTACGATCATAATAATTCCGTTGTAGTCCCCATGAATCACAATATCTTCGTCTGCTTGGCTGACCCTTTTGCAAAGCTTGCATGTGTGAAAATTTGCACTTCGGCTCCAGGCTCACGACAGCTCACGACAGAACTAGTTGCTAGCTCACCTTCGATTTGCAGAGATTAAGGATAGAGGACCTTATCGTTTGATGTACCGCTAGGTTTTCAACGGAATTTGAATCACCGACATGAACTCATTTGTCAACTGACCGAATGGATCGCTTATGGATTAGCTAATCGGTCTCATAGACTACAATCAATTGGATTGGGCGATATTCAGAACATCTTGCTCACCCTCTATGGAAAGCGCCACAAGCGTACCTTCAGTGCTGATCTAATTATCACATCCAATTGTCAGCATATTTTCTCATCCCACAACAGGACAGAAGGAAAGGTTGGTTTGACCATTAAATGTCCTGTGTGACGACTGTGAATGTTGCCCCAACGTGATGGCATAAGTACCTCATTATTGCCAACCTTGAGGGAAATGGCCATCCAATGGCCTTGTCCATGGGAATTCGTGGGAATGATAATGGAGGTGTTTTTCTATTCTGAACAAATAATGTTGGGCATTTAGGTGATTTTTGTGATGATGAGCAATGGAACAAGCAAATAACATCACCATTGAAGAACCGTGACGCTTCTTAGGGAGGGCGTTTTCCATCACAAAAGCCCTGAAATTTTCGTACCATGTGTATGTCAAGCGGATTTTCAACGCTGCCATTTGTTTCAAGGTCAACGGGTTGACATAAGTGTGATCATTGAAACATGAGGGTGAACCCTTACGAGCGACAACCAAAGTCTCAGCTGATTAGCGACGAAGTTACTACAGTAATGATCACCATTTCTTGTTCTATTTTTGCAGCATCCAGAGCTAATTCCTAGAGAATGGAAGTAGAAATACTTGTTAGTTCGCCAGCTAAAAAAACTTAGAATAAGAAGAAAACTGGTGGAAGACCTGCCATTTGTAGCTCCGATTGCTGAAAATATTGGGTTGTAACATAAGTTTGTAGAGTTTTGCGTTAGAATTATTTTACAACGACTTGTTTCGTTATTTAGCAAAGTGTATAAACTCCTTCGAAGGAGCTCTTTCTCCTCTACAAAACTGTTTTATTTAATGCTTTCTTTTTGGACAATTCAATTGTTCGTCTTTTTTCTGGCTCAGAAATGGACTATGCAGAAGGAAAAAATCAGCATTTTTGAAATCTGCTTTTCTTTGCTTTTCATCGCTTTTCATCGAGGTCAAAAAGGTCATCGGGACAGTGTGTACGGGGAAGGTGTCTCAGATCTGTCTACTGCACAAAAATGGTTCGCAACGTTTAAAAAGCTCGGATGTTCTTCGTCGAATTCTGCGGGTCGTCCGCTTTGAGGCGTGTTTCAAGGTCAGAGTCGCCATTTTCAAACTTTATGAACTATTTTGTGCATTATACACACCTGAGACACCTTCCCCGTACACACTGCATATGTCCCGGTGACCTTTTTGACCTCGATGAAAAGCAAAGAAAAGCAGATGTCGAAAATGCTGATTTTTCCTTCTGCATAGTCCATTTCTGAGCCAGAAAAAAGACGAACAATAAAATCATCCAAAAAACAAATAGAACAATTTTGTAGTGGAGAAAAAGCTCCTTCGAATGAATGTATACGCTTCGCTAAAAAACAAAACAATTCGTTGTTAAACAACTCTGACGCAAAACTCTACGAACTTAGGTTACAACCCATTAGATAGAGTACGTTAGCAAAAAAACATTGACTCTACAAAACGGTCCTCCATCGAGCTTTTCCTCGCTGCTACGCTAAGTTTTACAGCTTTATTCTATTAAACGGAACAGTTGAGGTTGAGTAATACAACTAAGTCGGCTGACGTTTCGGCGATTTTCGCCTCCTTCGGAGCCTAAAAAGGTGGAAATCAAATCATGATTTATTTGACCAAATGACTCACCCCTCACGGGACCTTCGCAACCAGATAAGTCAGTCACTAAGTTCTACAATATCGTCTCTTTCACAGGTTTCACTGCTAAATTTCCTACTTTGCCATGTTTACTTACAATTCCCCAACGTTACAGAATCATTTCGAGATGGTTGAGAATGTGGGATGCTGTGAGTTACGGTATTGCGGCTGTATACGGTATGAACGCATACGACAACAACGAGAGCATAAGAAGTTTTCGATATAGAGTAAACAGAATGCAATTGAAGAAGATCACAAATGACAGGGGCCTTCACTACTTCCTATTTCCCTAGAAAACAATGATTTTAGAATTTTCAAAAAGGGACTCAGGTAGCACGTACCTCAATGGTGTTTACTGTTGCCAATAAATTTTTCTTCTTATCTCGTAAGAATAATTCAATCGACTTATCTCAGATCAAAATCGAATCGCACTTTTGAAAACCCCTCAAACCTGCACCGGGTTCTTTCATAAGTTTCTCAAGAACCAGTCCTTATTGGTTAGTTTCCCTGAAGCGTAAACGTGCCGTGTAATCGCTTGCTCTGCGCCTTCCAATATGTCTGCTTTCATCCCCAAGAGTACCTTTTACGATGAGTTCTTATTGGGCTCGATGGCCCTTGCGACGAATCGTCCCATCGATTTGCGCATGGTCGATTACTTTCAAACAAAGAAGGGAAACTTTTTGCCATAAATCCCATGCACACGGCTCTGTACTTTGGCTTCGAATTCCTGTTCAAGTCCTAATGTTCGAATTGCCCATCACCTACCTTCTTTCAACTTCTTTCCAGAGTTAGTCGTATAATGCTCCATCAACAGCATAACACTAAATTGAATAACCTCATTGATATTCACTGATGAAGCCATGCATTGGGCACTGGATCTTGATTAAGGGTCGCGTAAGCTTTTTGTTTGGTATATGAAGTGACTTGCAGGGAGCAACAGATGGCTGGGTTCATGCTATTAGAATACTCAGACGAGTGTGGTGCCACTTAATCGATTTCTGGGGGAGGCTTAGGATTGAACACTACCCCTCAGAGTGTGCAAGTGCAATGTGGCCACTCACTGCTCCTATCCATTAACGGGCCTAGCGCTGCAAACTAAGCTCCGGTCAGAATTCTCTATATTCTGCTCATCCGCCTCTGTATTAATACTCTTAACATCTCTACGGAGCTCTGTTGTTGAGACATAGAAAGCAAGAAAGAAATCTATGGAAAGGGTCCCCATAAGTCGTATGCTAATATTTGGGATCGAGAGGCTGCTGAAATGTCAAGACTACTCATATCTCGTGTAACGGCGCCCTTGCTTGGCTATTTCAGGAGGCGGGCAGACCAATCTATGAGCGATGGGAAGGCCAACAGGCGACTTCTCTCGCCATTCCATGATTAATGATTCCTCCGTTAGCCATCTGATGGGGTGTCCATATTCGCTCAAATCTATCCTCTCTTTAATCTGCTCATCCTCCTATTTCAAATGAAATTAAAGGCAGGAAACAGCTCTAGTTCTATCAGCACAAAATACTACGAATCTTATGTAAGTGCTGAGAAATTTCGTGACCCTCCAACTCAGCATACATGCTGTAGTGTTGCCTGAGTTTCAGGGAGATCGAATCCTTATTTTTGTATGGTACAGCTTGGTAATGCAGGTATCTCCCAACTTCATCATATTGTTTGACTTTTTAGGGTGTCTACCATTTTTTTAGAGAGAAACATTCATTTTTTTCATGATTATAGAAGTCTGACGCTAACCAATCAACCAATCGCATTTGATGATGACCCATATCGCTTTCCCAAATCGCAGGTAAAAAGGAACCCAAAACTGTGAAAAATTGAAAAATTTAGAAATAATAACATTTCATAAACTTCATTCAAGCATTTTTGAGGGTTCCGATGCAGTAAATTATTTTATGAAATGGTTTAAGATGTAGTTTGGGGGGGGGGGGGGGGGG